TTTATATTTACCCCAAGCCATAGTGTTTGGTATTTAAAACAGGATGACACTGAAAATTCATTTAAAGGTCCACTTCACTCACTACATGTTTACACAAATAACTCACTGATTAAAATCATGGAAAACATTAAAAAAAAAAATTTAGAAAATACAGTAATCTCACATGCCATCTGCACGAGACATACATAATGATGTAATCCAATTTCTATTACCAAATTTAAAGGTGTGAACACACACACACAAAATCAGAGACCTGAAACAATCATTTTTCGATCTCAGCTGTAGTAAAACTGCACTATTAATTTATCCCTTAGAAGAAGCCATGAGAAAAATACTTCCGAGTAGCTTGTTTCTCAGCTATAACCAAAATATATCAACAGAACTAATCTTAACATATTTTGAACAAAGCCATTTAATTAATAAAACTGTCTTGTCTGTTATTGCTATTTAAACTAAATACAAAAAAAGGTAAAAAAAGCTTTATTGCTCCTTTAGTCATTTAAGGAATGCTGATGTAGCACGCCAAAATATTTACACAACACCTTATCAATATCTTGATTCCTGAATAAATCTTATTTATTATCCACACATAAGACCTTCCATGAATAAATGACAATGCACTTTTTCTTAGTTTTTTGGCATTATTTTGTTTTTTCTTTGGAGGGGGAATATTCTTGCTCCCATGGTTTCACTTCCCAGCATTTCTAAGTTTCTTCCCAAAGAATATTTCTTCTTTTCAAGCTCGTAGCCTGAGATACCCAAGATATGCAGAAATTGTTCAATAGTACAAAAATTCCGGTCAAAGAGATAATATTCCAGTCAAGACAAAAATCACCATAGCATCAAAAGAGAACTTTTCAGGTTATTCCTGAAAGTTTCAATTGCCCCCCAGTACTAAGCACTATTATGTCAAAATACTTTATCAATAACTGAATACTTACATATATGATGCACTACTACAAAGGTAAAATTGATGTCCACTGCCAAACTTGCTATCAAAAAATAATATACATCTTAGAAGATTTTATAAAGCAGCAAAATTTTGCCTGCCATCCCAATAAAAGGAGGGTATGAACACACAGCATGTATATTTCATGATTATTAAGCTATGAGAACCATCAATTAATTGTAACTATTTATCACTGTTTTAATGGGTTCTGAGCAGGGGACGCCTTTTTTTCTCGCTGATAGCTGTCCAAACATATTCAAAGTGAATGTCATCATGTTCAAGACACATTACTGTCAACCTGACACTTTAATCAACTCTTCAGTGCTAATCAAGTAGTGACATGTGGAAGCAATATTTCAGTTTCTGATTCAGAGGAAGTAAAGCAGGAGTAACCACAGAGAAAAAAAGCAATCCCTGTTTGTGCTTTGCCTAACATCTTTCCTAAAACTGTAACACCAGTACAGACTTACACCTAGAGCAACCATTGCAGCAGATGGTGCATTGCGCATCTCAGACAGTGAAAGCAATGTGTGGGGGTATCCACTAGGCAGATTAACCTCACTTGCCTTGTGCCAAGGATTTCCTCTTACTTCTAGCCTGCAGTTCCCATATTCTGCTTAAGGATAAGCAGGGTACAGTTTTAATGATCTGTTATTACTAATAGGGGATGCATGACTAATTCCCAGTGGTAAAAGACGACTTGAGGGTCTGTTCTGTTTTCAGCAGCAGGTTGATTTTAAATGGGACTCTTGAAAAATACTGAATTAAAAGCCTGATTTGCATCTACTTTACTGGGATTGCCCTCTCCTGCAGTGGGACTGTATCCTCAGAAACAGGCACATAAATAACAGCCTAGACATTTCCCTGTCTCTACTTCGGCTTTGGCACCAGATACAGGGAAAAGCAAAAATAACTCTCGTAATATTTCCTTCTGCAATCAAGTAAGCCACAAAGTGATAACCTGGATGTAGTGAATGGATATTTTGTAATGATGTATCACGTATTTCTACAGTGAAATAAAAGGGACTACTTCACAAGAAGTTCATCACTGTATTTCAAAATAAGAAAATCACTATATATGTAGGAAGTCAAAGAATATTATTTTATAGCACATACTAGTTTGTCTGGTTTAAATAGGTGGTGCACCATTAGAGAATTACTATCTAAACCAGTTCCCCAGTTTCAAAGGGCTAAATGGAGGATAGATCCACACATTCAGAATTTAATATGATGGAAATTAGATATTTGATTCATTTTTTTAAAATCATAAATAATAACTACCATACAAATGAAACCTGAATTGGGAAGAAAGATTGTCATGGATAACACATTGCTTAAGAGACAGTGATTCTCAAATTCCCAGCTTCATACAGCAAAAAAATACTTAACATGACAAAGCATGATCAACAGATCCAAGTGAAAATTCAGATTTAGGAATGTGCGTGGATCTAACTGCAATTGTCCCTCTCCCCTAGAGACAACCACCTGCTACTGTAAGAGGCAATAGAAATGAAAACCAATCTCAAGGAAGAGTAGGCAAGTCAAATATCTATTCATTGAAACCTGCTCTGTGAGATCCAAAGAGCAATTCTTTGTTTCTCTTGGGATCCTACAAAACATATACAAAAGGGAGGAAAAAATGAAATCTGCTTTCCAAGGTGTAATTCAGTCCAAAAAATTTGGCTTCCAAGCAGTAAAAGTTGTAAACTGTGTCTCATCCACTGTTTCTCAGAAGGATTTGTTGTACTATCTGTTTGTAAATGTTCACTAGCAGACTGTGATGCAAACAAGGTATTGCAGATTTATTGCAGACTACTTTCAAAGTGTACAGCTGTTCTCTACTACAGTGGGTGCTGAAACCTCTGTGAAGAAATGACAGGTTAGCTCATGTGAACAGGAAGAAAAATGACAACAGTGTTCAAGATACATTATCAGTCTTTCTAGGGTTATAAAAATTGCTTGCAGATAATATTGCTTGTGAAAAGAAAATAAAACTCTAGTTTTGGAAATCTGTTGGTGAACCACCACATTCTATTGTTCACTGTGTTTCAGATGACATATGAACTTTGTTACTGTAAAATAAAACCTGGTAATGGTTTTGTGTTTTGTGTTTGCGATCCCCCACCCCCACTGCCCCCAGTTCCTATACTAGATGTGACGTCCCATGGTCTGGAATACCCCTTTGGCCAGTTTGGGTCAGCTGCCCTGGCTGTGTCCCCTCCCAACTCCTTGTGCCCCTCCAGCCTTCTTGCTGGCTGGGCATCAGAAGCTGAAAAATCCTTGACTTAGTATAAATACTACTTAACAACAACTGAAAACATCAGTGTGTTATCAACATTCTTCTCATACCGAACTCAAAAACACAGCACTGTACCAGGTGCTAGGAAGACAATTAACTCTATCCCAGCTGACACCAGGACATTGATATGGAATCTGTGACTTTTAGGTATTCTCAAGCTGTTATCTCTGAAAACGCCATCTGTAATCAGAAGTTACCCAGCTACCCAACAAGAGGATTTTGCTGACACAGAATTACAGTCTTCCTGGTAACTTTTTAGACTTCCACATCTCTGGTAATTAATGTGATAGCTAGACCCAAAGAATCATGAATTTCTCATGAACCATATATGTTGCACATGCAGCTACCTCTCTCAAAATGTACATTTCTGTCTGTTATTATCATTTTATTAGATACTAAAGTTGTACCTTTCCTATGGAAGTCATAACCTGTCTTCATTTTTAGGTTAACAGGCTGTATAGTAACATTACCTAGCATGTATTTCTAAGGGACAAAAGTCCTTAGGAATACCATCTAAAATGTTAAATTCAACACAACAACAAAACATTTTACGTACTGTTATGATGACAATCTTATATCAAAGTTCACATGGTGTTTACAAATATCCTAATAATTGCAGGCGAGTTTTTATAGCATTTTAAACAGCGAAGTATGAATTCTCTTCAAACAAAAGCAAAGGAAATGGTTTGTCTCTTCCCTGTAATCCTGCAATTAAGGTGCACTTTACCACTTATTAAAGCCAGAATCCCAGAATAATCCTCTAGGTCTGTCAGTCAAGCACACCATATCAGAATACGAGCTACTATGATTCTTTCCCCCACCATGCTGACATTTCCATTTTCATCCCTATGTCATTTATATAAGCTGCACACAACTGTGGTCATGAATTTTAAAGAGCTCAGGTCACATTAGGGTCTCTTTCCTCTTGATGAGATTTTGAAAGAGGAGAAAGACTGCATACTTGAAATTAGGACCCTAAATAAAAAAAAAAACTTGAAAATATGGATCCTATTTAATTTTTCTTCCCCTTTTAAAAAAAATATGCAGCCATTTTGAATGTTGAAATGCCTTTTTATTGGATAATAATTTTTTCCTCATGATAAGCATGGAAAAGAAGTTATTTTCATCTTGAAAGGTAACTTAAATACCTAATTTTGAAATACAATTAAAGAATCCTCAGCAGTATATGCATATATATATATATTATTTTTCACATAGTTTAGAAAGAATTTATTCAAATTCTCTGCTAAAGTCTGTTACTGCAATTCTGAAAACGCACTGCATGCAATGTAAGTACTACCATCTCGCACAGCATGTTATTTGCCTGAACTGTATATGCTTTTGCAGTACTCAAAACTGTTTTCAGTACTCATCTCTGCCTGAGGCTAAAACCATGTAAAGAAGAGCTGTCAAGAATTGTTTGTATTAAATGAGAACACAGCATAGAGAAAGAATGGATAAGAAAATTAGAATATGTAAGAGTTTTGTTTCACCTCCAGTTCTATTTCTGAGACTCAAATTCAATCCTAATGGATCTCTTTAACTATGGCTCCTACTAATTCATAAGATGAATCATATGCCTAATAGAGCACACCTCTGAAGTACTACTGAAAGAAGAAAAAAAAGACAACAGAAATCTGTACTAAAAATGGGAGATGAAAATTTTGTTTGGAGGTTATTTGTTTTTAAGAATGGGACACAAATAATAAGCTTCGTATTAAAATAAAATCACTTTGTTCACATGCTACTTACAGCCTTCATAAATATCTGTTGGTATGTGGACTGCTGCATGTTGGTAAGACGTTTGCCGTCGGAAAACGGGATCTTCTTCAAATACTGGTCTGATTCTCTGGCTGCCAGATTCAGTGTCATTCTTTTCAGGCTTTTTAAAGAAAGACATGTAAAGGGCAAAATATTACAAAGTATGCTAAAAACAATTCCATTCCCATTTGCCTCTTTTTACATAAAAGACTCATAGCCTTTCTTTCATAGCTAACTTTTTGCATTTGTGTATAAGCACACTTATTTGCTCCAGGTCCAGAAATATTTGTGTATACTTTATTTCAAATTATGAGTTACCCAGTGCAACTCAGTGAAATGAAGAGCTGCAAAAGAAAAGTGACAGCCTAACACCTTACACACCTAAATTTCACAAGTGCATGGAATTTTTACACCCTTAATGCAAGGCAAATACATTACCTTTTATTATGTGCAATACTTTGTACCGAATCTTAAATATAAATACTGTATACCTCATTTTTTTCCTTCTGTCGATTACATAGTAAATCACAAATCTTAAAATGATACCACTAACATACATTTCATAAATCAATTTTTGAGAAACAGTGGTGCACATCCAGACAAAGAAAGGAAATTAAACCTTCTTAGAACTCTGATTGAAACAGGTTTTGTTCATTGGTTTATTTTAATAATAAATCTCGATGAAATCTCATGTACTCTCCTGGCTACAGCTGCCTGGATGGAAAGGTTCCCAAACACTCAGGTGCTCACCACCACCTGCCTGCCTTGGGTTCCCATCCTCTCTCACCTGTCTGCACCCTGTCTTCTTGATTCCTTCCAACTCACTCGGTCATTTGGACTAGTTTTTAAAAATTTTGAAAAGCAGAGGCTTTTTCTAACTCCGCTACAAAAATTGCATGAAGTGTGGAAACCAAGGAAGTAGTGAAGACCAAAGCGGAGGTGGTAATGTCTTTACCTGGGTCAGCTGCAGCTGGAACAGGAGGCCACATGGCATGAGTAGACTGCCACTTAAATCAATAATGAATCAACTATGATACCGAATGATTACTCAGGTCAGCAATGTTAGGCAACTATATCAATATTTTTAATACTGCAGAGTCATCAGTTTTTGAAAATGTGCTATGCTTGAAAAATAGTGCTGACAAAGAAGCACCTGTCTGGTTAGTGTCAGGCATGTGCGTGCTGAGGCTATTCTTTATACATTACCACTGTGTCTATTATACCCTATCAAAGTTAGCTAAATATTCTTACCCGCAAAATAATCTAATTAAACTGCATATGTTTCCTCATCTGCTTCATCACAGGGCTACGGACAAATGTTATACTAAGTATAGGTTCAAATGTTGCCTGAAGTAAGCAGCAGTCTCAAGATGAGTTTCAAGGAGGTGGTTTCCTTTGGAAACACAAAAGGGCAGAACTCATCTAACTAGTGGCATCCACTGATTTCAACACCATAGCAGCGTTGGCCTCATGACCCCAGGCTGCCTTCATAGTCAATGAAGAGAAATGAGCATTTTTAGAGTGCAATTCATCTCATCTTAATTAGACACCTATTCTCCCGTGACATGAATCATGCCTGAGGAGTACCTCCTACTTTCCACTGACTGTAAAGGCAGCCCTAAGGCAAGTCACCTAGATGTAGAAGTCTGCAACACAGCTGTCTAGAATTAGGTGAGATGAATCTCACAATACAAGTCTATTAAACTTCTGGAAGAAAAGAAGGTGGGTACTAATTTTGACTACTTTTATGCAGCATAGCTACTATATCTTATGCTAAGAAGTTAAAACTTGTTACTTACTTACTACTTAACCCCACTCTGGTGGATGAGACAGAAGGGAAAGCATAACTCTTAATACTCAAAGTAAGGGATGACCTTTTTTCTTTAAGCAAATCTATTACCAGGTAAAGTCCAGGTATATCATGGCATTAAATATTCTAAATTGATAAAAAGTGTAAATTACCTAAAAACATTATTCTCCTTGGAACACCTAACACTGCACGGTGCCTTCTACTTTCACATGTAATAGTTCTAGTGGATGTAATGACCTCTGTTATGGACGTTGTCCAGGGGACTTCTGAATATCATACTTTTGCATTTAGAACTTTCTAAGACAGTAATGTTTTAGTTTGGGAATGTGGATTAGAAAAACAGAAAATACTTGTACAATGCAGCCTCAAATATTTTGATCCAGTATGCCATGCTCTTAGATCTACCAGAAAGTAAAACCATGGATTGGGTCTGGCTGGGATGGAGTTAACTTTCCCCATAGCAGCCCTCATAGTGCTGTGATTTGTATTTGTATTTGTAGCTAAAAAGGTGTTGATAACACACCAGTGTTTTGGCTACTGCTAAGCTGTGCTCCCACGGCATCAAGGCTGTCTCTCCAAACCCCATCCAAAGGCCAGTAGGCTGGGGATGGGCATGAGGTTGGAAGGAGACATAGCCAGGACAGCTGACCCAAGCTGACCAAAGAAATATTCCATACCATATGATGTTGTTTTCAGCAATATAAGCTAAGAGAAAGGAGGGCAGGAGGGAGGCATTCGTTATTAAGACGTTTGTCTTCTGGAGCAACCACTATGTGTACGGAGGCCCTACTTCCCAGGAAGTGGCTGGACATGGCCTGATTATGAGAAATAGAGAATATATTGTTTTGTTTTCCTTTGCTTCTGTGCGTGGCCTTTTTTCTTCTTTAATAAACTGCCTTTATCTCGACCTATGAGCCTTTTGTCATCTTATTTTCTCCCCCCTGTCCTGCTGGGGAGGGGGAGTGATAGAGGGGGGAGTGATAGAGTGGCTTGGAGGGCACCTGGCAGTCAAGGTCAACCCACCACAAGCCATTATAACTTCTTTTGAATTGTGCAAACTGGAGCCAGTTTATGCACTCTATCATTTGAAATGACACAGCATTATGATCGCTCCAGACAATGTAATCTGGCTCAGTTTTTTCATAAGTTTTTGGTGGGTTTTTGCTTCAGACAATGTAATTTGGCTCAATTTTTACGTAGGTTTTTGCTGTGTGGTTTTGTGGTTGGTTTTTTTTGTTCTACATTATCACACAGGATTCCGCCCCCCTAGAACTGGAATGCTATACATTAAGCAAATTCTGGAGTTCTTTTCACAAGGTTTCTTTTGGCTTCATGCTGCTCAAAGCAACGAGTTTGTCTAATTCTGCAAATGCAATCTCAACAATCAATCATTCATGTGAGAAAATTTCTCTCCTGCCTGAAAGCCATTTGATTTAAAAAAAACCCTAACACTCTTATTTCTGAAGTTAGTACCAATGACTACAAACTCTCGATGCTTTCACAGATCACTTGAGAAAATAACTGGGGAGCATAAAGCCACATTATTACAAAAAAACACCAGAATGAGTGGGTGTCAAAAGATTTCTTCCAATTAATTTTCCACAAGAAATTTTTGGGAGGGACAGGGGGGTGGTAAAAGAGAAAGGGGGTAATCCACAAGGTCCATCCTAGCAGGTCTTGCACAGAAGTTTTCATACTATAGTATATTTAGATTTTTGATTTAAATTCCTGAAGCATCTGAACATAAAATTATTATGTTTCTTCTGGTTGGTATTTCAATTTCATTCCAAGTAATAGAGACTAGCTTTCAGCCTCTCCCATCACTCATGTGCTATGGAAGCAACTTCAAGTCTACTGCCAAAATTTGACTATACTTTGTTGAAACTGAAAAGGTTTAAATATTCCACCTGAATGCCTTAAGCTTTCAAACGTAAAGTCTACTTCCCACATTTCTAACAGCACACACACACAGGCTCCCCCAGAGACGACTGTGGTAAAGATCTGTTTGATCTTCCTACCAATATTACATGATACCAAAACAAGAACATGAATCTAAGAACTCTTCTCAATTTAATTGATGCGGGGCAGTAGATCTACCAGAACTACATAAAGTAAGGTAGAAGCTTTTGCATCCCTATCGTTGACTTTTCCTGGGAGTATTTTGTGATGTATAACTGATATAGAAACAATGCATGTATCTGCCTCCAAAAAGTCAGAGACAGGAAATGACAAAATCCTTTAAAAGTTCTGTAGTTTCCTTCACACAGGATTAATTTTGCTATTAAATCTAAAGGTGTTTGAACTCATTCTGCATGCAACAGGCAAGTATCAGAAGCATTACAGACAAATTAGTGTTGCACTCACTCGGGCCACTACCTCCTGACCAGCAAGACTAATGCTGTGCCAGGCCTTATACATCCAAGTTTGTAGTGGATATTTCTATATAAAATAAAAACTACTTAGTTTTCATTTGTGAAATTCATTAATTTCAAGTAACCCACATCTAAATTAGGGGAAAAAAAAAAGAAAAGGAAAGATTAAAAAGGAAAACGTCAATGTTATTAATTATTTTAGTCTGGTATTTCTATCAAAAGCCTGACAGATTGTGGCATTGGTTGTTACCGTTTTAATACCCAGTTAAACTTTGTTTTCAGGAAAGTAGCAAAACACATATTTTGGAGGAAAGTAATCCAGCATGTGAATATAATTAAAATCCAACTACAACCAATTTCTCTCTCAAGTCAGGAGCTGAAATGCAATCAATACTGGCACAGGAAAATCCCACAGGAGATAGTGGCTGAAGATTAATTTTCTATCTATTCAAACCTGGCCTTCACTTATTGAATTACATTGTTACCTACCACCGACAATCAGCAAAATAACTCACTCATTTCTCCGCAATGAATCTCCAGACCAATTTCTCCCTCCCTTGTGAGGCAGATAAAATCCATTTCTCTTTTCAGTTCACATTTGTGCCATTTTAAGGCACTTTTTTTTTTTAAATAAATGAAGTATTTTTTCATGTGTCTACCATTCACCATCAGAATAAAGGGAAATTGATATAGCAGCTAAAATTCAGGTAAAGTGGGTTCTTCTGTAGCTGTTCTTTGTGATCTTGGCTAAATCACTTTTGGCATGATCTAAAATAAACTGGAAGTTACTTTCTGTTTTTTGTAAGCCAAATACATAGCAGAAATAATGCAACTTCTCTCTCAAGGGCTTTGTGAACATAAATTAACGTATGTACATGAGGTAACTCGAAGCTTTATGCAAAGATGTATCACTGAAAAATGTGTATAGAAAAGCAAACA